TTGGGCAGACATATCTCCTTGATCAATGTACCTCCATTAACTTCATCCCAAACAAATTCACAGTTATAACACACAATTACCGTCTTTGGGCAGAAAATTGCATAAAATAACCAAAATTATTTCTCAAATTTTCACAAAGAAATTTTCACAAACCAATATAAGTAATTCCACTTTGGTGGCAATTACCCATACTAATTCATGAAAACTCTTACACTGAAATTAATTTTCTCTTTGCCCAAAACCATAACCCAGTGCACAATAGAGTGCAATATCTCTACGGATAATGAGTCAAAGATAATAGCATTTCCAATAAAATTTTGCACTCAAATAATTCAAGCGGAAGCATGCATCTTAATGAAAAAATATATTAGAGTAAGCATATAAGGTTTATCTTTTTTTCAAAAAAGGATATTTATTACAACAATTCATTTATTTATCATAAAATTATATTTAATTATAACACCACACAAATAATATTTGATAAAATTAGGTCATTATTGGGCTCACAAGTGTCTTATGCACCATAGCCTGTGGATGGGATTTACTCAAAAGATCCAAATAAGTTTTCTTCTCCACAATCAAATCAATCCCCACAGAAATAAATTGTATCCATAAATAATGCCTGACTATAAACGAAGCAGTTTCATCAAAGTTATTATGGATTCAGGCATTTTATTCATGTTGAATGCAATGTACGTATCCCACATGGCTACCAAATAACTTTTATTTTAAATTATTCATTCCAAATAATTTCAAACTAAATATAAAAATACCAATTGTAATGTATTTATTTCTATCCAAATATTTTCATTAACCCACAAATACGAAATATATCTTGAAGCCTTTCAATCAATTCCATCAAAGGTTTCAAATTAAATAATAATAATAATAAATTTATTTGAATACAAATTAATTGATTGATTTGATGATTGTATCATTGATGTTATATTCTCCGCCATATAATCAACAATCAATCCAAATGCAATAGAAATAATGTCACGATATTTCTATCAAGATAAATCACCCAACAAATATTATAATAAAATTTATTTGGAAAACATATATAGAAAATCCGCACACGATCATGAAACATACCAACAAAACAACAAAAAACCCAAAACAAATAAAAAAAGAAAATACCACCTCAAGAATGCACCAAACGATATTGTTGTTTTGTAATTCAATACACGACAGTATTGAACTATATCAAATTGGGTTAAACAAAAAGTTATTCAACTTTCCAAAAAATTGATGGATTTAGAAAATCACGTTTTACAAAGTGTCTTGGAAATCTAATTTTGATTTTTTTTTTTAAAAAATTGATTTAAAAATCATATAGTCAAGAATAAAGGAAGACAGTAAAACTAATCCCAAAAACCTGATCATGTTTAATAATACAAATTGGGTCCTAACACATATAATTTAGACTCTGATACCAAATGTAAGAAATTTCAAGATAAAATTATACGACATTAGGACACCAAAAGGTTTAGACTTACTTGTTGAAGACATGATTCTTGATTTCTTGAAGACTTATTGTTTCCTCTAATGCTCCTACAATGGAAAGACTAAGATCTTTCTCTGCGATTCACACCACTCCCTGATCACAACCGTCGATGGGGCAAGTTATGGAGTAACGATTTTCTAACACGTTGTGAATGTAGATGGGACCTAGCCAAACTTATTAACCCTAGTCCCCTTCCCATCACGGGCCTATGAGTTAGGCCTACATTGTTGCCCACACTAATCAGTTTATAGATATCCAAGCCCAAATTAAAAGGATCACTAATTAACTGGGCTTTATATTGCACCCCTATACGGATCATGACTTAGCCCATTTTTATTAAAACAAGAAAAACTACAATTGATTGAAGCCCACAATTATTAAAAAAATTTCTAACACTGACTTCAATTTATTGTCATACGACTCATACTTAGGTTTCTGATAATATTCTTTATCAAACTTGAATTGATTAAAATGGAAGAGTGGCCCACATTTTTGATATACTCATGTTTAAGATGACCCGGAAAGGAGAAAAAAACAAAATAGATTATGATGATGGATTTAATGTGTCTCATATTGTATGAGATAAAATTATCTTCTACACATATACAAAAGTATGTGGAATCCATGTGAGGCCAAATGAAAAGATGAAAGAAAAAATATGGTTCTCATATATTTTTATTTATATGTAGGAGATAATATTATCTTCTATAACATGAGAAATATTAAACTCTATGATGATTGTGTGAAAAATATATATATATATATATAGGGGTAAGATCCTTTGACACCAATGTCAAATTTAAAGTTTGACACACCATCTGAGAGCTGTTAGATCAAAAAAGATCAATGGTGTCATATGCTTACAAATTAGAGTCTTTAATTTTTTTTGATCTAATGGCTCTTAGATGAGGTGTCGAACTTTAAATTTGACACTAGTGTCAAATGATCCTACACCATATATATATATATATGTGTGTGTGTGTGTGTGTGTGTGTGTGTGTGTGTGTGTGTGTGTGTGTGTGTGTGTGTGTGTGTGTGTATGTATATATATATCGTATAACATTTTCCTTTTATAACACAGGACAATCATTATGGTACATTGGTTAGCCGAAAACACAATTAATCTGATTTAAGTAATGTTGGACTCATATTGGGAGCGACTTTTCAAAATATCATTTTCTTTATTTGAGGGCTCGAATTTAAAACCTCTAATTATGAGAAATAATTTCTTTATCACTAGAATCAATAGTTAGTGATCTTAATATTATTCTATGAATCATACAAAGATGCCTTTTTATTTTACAATTAATTTAACATAATTAGGTTTTGAAAATGTATAATAGCCACGTCATGGGCTAGGACATCCTGACTAGCCCGAAGGAGATTGGTGTTCTTGGCCTGAGGAAAACAGTTTTGATGAATGATGCTTTTCTAATGAAATATGCTTGGCGCTTTCAAAATGAATTTAATTCTCTTTGGTCCTGTGTGCTGTGTGGAAAATACAAGGTGCAAGTTGATCAAGTGTCAATCCCTAAGGCTACATGCTCTCCTTTCTGGAAGGCAATCTGCAATGTCATGCTCAATATGCAAGATAACATAGTTTGGGAAATTGGAGACGGGGAGACAATCTCCTTTTGGAAGGACAAGTAGGTCAACTCTTCTATCTACCTCTTGGATCATGTTCGAAGCAGTCTACCAAAAGATTTGAGGGACTACCGCCTCAATCAAGTGGTTGGTTAGGATCGTAAGTGGAATTTCAACATGCTACTACAAATTTTTGATTAGAGGATGGTTGAAAAGATCAAAAGTATACTCCCTTCTTATATGCATGATGGCCCATAGAAGCTTTTGGTTAATGGGTGGTACGGTAGCAGTACAGGTCAGTAATTACTATCTATATCTAGCAAAACAATCCTTTCAGTATAGCAATTTCTCTAAGAAGGTTTGGAACAAGTTATGGAAATGGAAAGGGCCTTAACGGATTCAAATGTTTTTTTGGAGATTATTACTCAAAAGTTTGCCTACAAAAGATTGGATTAGCTCGTGGTCAATGGCGGACCCTTTTTGCCCGATCTATTAGTAGGAGAGGTAGTCTTTGCTATATATTTTTCGAGATTGTCTGGTGATCCGTGATATATGGTACGGTATCTTTCCATATGATAGACTATCTTAGTTCTTTGATGCCAATTGGGATGATTGAGTGATTGATAATTGGAGTTGCGATGTCATGGGTGTGGGAGGTTTTTTTTGGAGTTCATTATATATTGTTTGTTATTGGTATATTTTGCACCAGAAAAAAAAAGTGACCCATGATAACTCTCCTAATGGGGATCGCCACCTTGCCCGGCCAATCCTTGATTGCTTAAAGGAGATATAGTTGGCCTTTACAGACACAAAGTCAAGGTTGCGACTCCATTCCTCTAGGGATGTTAACTGGTAGCCTCCTTTGACTCCGTATATTAAATTAAATACAAATGGGGCCTCAAAGGGTCAAACGACTAAAATAGCTTATGGAGTGTTTTTTCGTGATCACATGAGAGTTTGGCTAGGGGGTTTGCTGCAAGAATTGGACACGGTGCTGCTTTACAAGCGAAACTGTGGGGTATGTTAAAAGGGTTGGAGTTAGCTTGGAGGCAGGTTGGAGAAATATTTTGGTTGAAAGTGACTATCAAACAGTCATTGCATTATTTTCTAAGGAAGGTAATGAAGCTGGTGAGTCCCATCTTGTGACTCAAATACGAGCTTTTGTTAGTCATTAATGGAATGTTCAGTTTATGCATATTCTTCAGGAGGGAAACCAGGGCACAAATTGGTTGGCAAATTATTTGTTGGTGCACATGGAGTTACCTGATGAGGCTCACTTCCCCCCCCCCCCTCCAGGACTATGGTGTCATCTCCATACTGACAGTAGGGGTATGATTTTTTCTAAACGTGCATAGACTCGCTAGGAGCTTCCCTGTCTAATCTTTTGTATGTTTTCTTTTCCTTTGCTTTTTGTCTTTACTTTAATGTATATAAAAATAATAATATTAAATAGAAATAAAGGAAATGTGCATTAAATACAAGTGGGGAAAACCACACTATGTTTTTCACGACCCCGATAATTTTTTTACTTTTACTCATATGGTCAAGCCGCAACAAAAAGGAAAAAACTCATTCCATACACACCAAAAGATAATAAAAATATGGTAGTACAATAATATATATATATATATATATATATATATATATATATATATATATCCTCTTATCATTGGAACTTTAGAGTGACCTTAAAAATTGCTGTAGTTTTTAGCAAAAGTATGTTATTAATAACTTGTTTTTTAATAAAATCACAGTACTAAACAATTTAAAGATGCTAATTTAAATACATTCTTGCAACCTACATTGCACAATTTCACATAAAATAAAACTACCAGGACAAATTATTCCAAAACTTCAAATAGACAAAGTTTAGAGAATCATACAATGAAAAGGTGTTGAATAGAGTTAGCTAATGTGCCCTATTAAATCCACTTGGGGATCCAACCCAATGGGCTTGCTCGCTTATCAAATCCTCTAACTCAAGGAAGATATTTGAGCCATTCAGATCTACTTCTTGACCAATATCAGAACTCCCCTCCATTAGTTTTTTTGAATTAACATCATAAACATTGGATACATCATTCCTTAAACCTTGTATAGAACTGAATAAATCACCATCCATGGAAGAAACATAGGGAGTTATGCTGGTGTTCACAGTCTCAGACAAGAGTTCACTGAGCTCGGATTGCAATGTAGCCAATTGGTCAAAAAACTTATAACCTGGTGTATATAATCAATATTTGGGACAGTTTATGTGGCTAATCTGACTCTCTTAACCGTGGCTACCCCACCAAGCTCCTTTTTCACTTGATCTTGTGAATTAACTGATCAACAAAAGCAAGCTTTTTGGTCATTCTAGTGATGAAGCCTAACATCTGACATTGCTTCAACTCTGCACACCAAACTCGCTCCTCTACATTGGTGAGTTGAATCTGCAAATCCTCGTGCTTCTCCTTAAGCTTCAAAATCTCCACTTTTAATATATTACGGTCCTTCTTGAGCTGCTCAACTTCATCCTCCAATGCTCTAGCTTGAAGTAGCTTGTTATATTTGCTTCTCCTCTTGATGTTCCTCAGTAAATGCTTGTTCCCTCCCTGAAATCCCTCATTTGCAAACTCTCAATGTTCTGAATCAACCTTCCTAAAGCCTTATGCACATATCACACAACACAAGTCATAAGAATACAACCACCGCAATAAGCCAACAAATTTTTTTGCAAGTATAATATTTCTGATAAGTTATAATTATTTATATAATAAAAAATAAACATAACCAATTGGAGGAACAAACATTATTTTGAAAATATTTTGCATTAATGTATATGTAATTGTAGGAATAGAATTTGGAAATATTATGCATTTAATGTATACATAATTATAGTAATAGAATTAGCATGTAACGGTAACGTGATTAGCTGTTAGCTAGTATGTTAATATTCTGCATTTAATGTATACATAAGTATATGAATGGAATTAGCTGTCAGTGTAAATTCAAAATCCGAATTGTAAATCTTTTCTGTTGTATTCTTTTTGTATTTAAGAGCCATGTTGGCACAACAATGAAACCAACCATATTCTTATCAGTTTATTATGGTATCAAGAGCATTTTTTTTATCTTAACCTATAAACCCTAGTTGAACGATGGCCAACGAGAGTGATCATGATAGTGAAAGTTCAGGGAAATTCGAATCTTCTGCTACCCATCCTAAACACAAGATCCTCGACCCACAGTCCCCGTTCTATATGGTACCCTCCGATAATCCTAACATCCAATTAACCAATGTCTTATTGAAAGGAGAGAGTAATTATGATACTTGGGCCAAAGCTATAGAGAATGCCCTATGAGCCAAGAATAAATTGGATTTCGTTATTGGTGCAATTGTTGAACTTGTGGATGTTGCCTATCCACAGTGCCAATCATGGGTCATGGTCATTTCCATGATTATGGGATGGATCCACAATACAATTGATCCTAGCCAGCAACCCTACATCCAGTATTTTGATATAGCTAAGTAATTATGGGATGATCTCCGGGAAAGGTATCGTATTGACAACGCTTCTCGTGTTTATCAATTGAAGCAATCCCTGTCGAGTATTAAGCAATAAGGGTCGTATATCACCGCTTATTACACCAAGTTGAGAGCTATTTGGGATGAATTGGAGTCCCAAAAATCGCATCAATCTTTTCCACTGGGGGATGCCTATCCTACCGCTAAATCCCTTATTGATGAGCAAGAAAAAGATCACGTGTATTAATTCTTGTTGGGGCTTAATGATGAGATTTTTGGCACAATCAGGACTCAAATTTTAAACATTGTTCTGTTGGTGTCTCTGAATAAGGCACATATTATCATTGTTAATGAGGAAACTACCAAAGAAGTTACACGAGCTTAGACAAGTTGGTCTGAGCTTATTGGTTGTGTAGTCCAGTCCTTGACTCATCAATCTTCTAGTTCCAATACCCAGCAACAGCAGCCACAACGTCAGGAACAGATTAGCATTGCCCATGGCCTCTATGTGTTTATTGTGCTAAAAGTAACCATCCCTTCAGTACTTGCTGGCAGGTTATTGGCTTCCCTAACAATGCAGGTAATGGATGTGGGCGTGAACGCTAACAAGAAGGGAGAGGCTGTTTTGGGCAAGCTAATGCAGTCCAAAGTGACAATTCCAATTCTGTTGTTCCAATAACACATTCGACCTTGACTTCTGATATAGTCCAACGTCTCCATTCATTGACGGAGCAACCTCATACTCATAATTCCTCTTTGTCTGGTAATAATTTACATACCCCAATTTGGCTTATTGATAGCGGAGCGTCTAAAAATATGACTAGTAGTTTGGAGTTATTATTTAATATTCATGATATCTCTCTGTTTATTTTCGCTCTTCCTAATGGAACCCAAAACCAAGCTACAAAAGAGGTCCTAGTTTGTTTAAATTCAGATCTGATCGTTCATGATGTTCTTTATGTTCCACCACTCAAATGCAATTTGTTTTCTGTAGCACATTGTTAGAAAATAAGCAGTGGAAAATGTAGTTTACTCATGATTCTTGTATCTTGCAGGATCGATCTTTAAGAACTCAGACTAAACTGGGGACCCAAAATAATGGTGTGTATGTGTACCGTAGCAACCATCCCTTGGAGTGTGGAGCTATTTAGAATGGAAATTTGGATCTTTGGCATCATGTTTTGGTCATTCTTCGAAGTAACTTTTATGTTCCTTTCTAGTTTTTAGTCATTTTTTTTCAAAAAATAAAGATTTTGAGGCTCGTGATGTTTGTCATCTAGCTAAGAGGACTCGTTCTTTTTAACTGTTGCTCGTCTAATTAATCGTACTCTTACCACAGTGTTACAGGGTGAAACTCCACATGAATTGTTGTTTGGAACACAGCCTCAGATTAATCATCTTAAAGTTTTTGGTTGTTTATGTTATGCTACTGTCCTCCCCAAACCTTCTGATAATTTGGTGCTCGCAGTAAGAAGTGTATTTTTATTGGGTACCCTTTTGGCAAGAAAGGATGGAAATTGTATGATTTGCAAAAGGAATTTTTATTTCTCGTGATGTGGTATTTTACAAATCCATTTTTTCCCTTTCCAACCAACCTCCTTATCCGTACGTTCTCCATCTAGCTCCTTAGCCCCTAACCTTCCTACCACCTTCCATGTTGATCCTTTAACCCCATTTTCTGACCCTTGTTTTGAACTTCAAACAGAGGCCATCAACACATTCAACCCACTGAACCAGCAATAAGCCCCTTTTGTCCACCACCACAAACAATTGACCCACCAGCCATCCACATCTGTCCAACAACCATAACAACTAGTACCTAACTCACCTCCAACTTTTACTTTTGAGTATTGGAACACACTTGTATAAAGTGGGGAAAGTTGTTAAAACAAAGGAGACTATGCTGAATTTTCTAGAAAATTAGTATGATTTTACACTAAATTTGAGAGACCATATCACTCTCTACAATGATCCAAATAAAGCGTACCATACCTTATTTTGAAGCTTAGGATGCCCTCTATATTTTCTTAAAATTTGGTGCCACTTGGAGTTTTAGAAACTGCATAAGTTACGTTTGATTGCGGGTTGTCCTGTTTCGTGCTGAAGTTGACAAATTCTGTTTATGTTTTTGAAAAATTCATATCTCTCTCATTTCTTACCCAAATTAGGCTTATGATATATCAAATTGAAGCTTGAGATGTATACTAGAATATATTGAAATTGGGAGAAAATAGATAAGAGAATCGACCGTAGTTTAAAAAGCAATAAGGGTGTTAGTGAACTGTTAGTGCAGTTTTGACTGTTTTAAGAAATTAATTTACGACGAGCGTATCTGAAGCTATAGAACTTCAATTGAGGCATGTGATACCTTGTTGGAAATCTAGAAGAGTCTAGTTTAACATATCAAAAGATGGGAATTTATGGACAAGTGATGCATCTGCAGTTTTGGTAAAATTGAATGTACTTCAAGTAGGTAAAATGTGAAATTGTGTATTTGCGTTTTGTTGGTTTATGGGAACCACCTAGCAACTTTAAATAGACGTTGTATGATGTTAAGCAATAGTATTTATGATTCCGCAATAGTTTTTAGTTACGATTATATTTTTGGAAAATGTTGAATACTGACATTTTATGAATGTAAGGATTTTGTAAACGGTATTAAAAAGAAAAAGTTTTATCGTATTTTTAAATGAACTGTTGTGATTGTAACTGTGTTTAATATCATACAAGGTGTTTTATAATAACTCTGTTCGACATTGTGCCACTTCGTGATGAGACACATCTCCTGATGCTTACGGAGATGAAGTGCCCATTTTCAAAGGTTATGGTGGGGGCTTTCTACCAGAACCTCCACTACCTATATGGCGAGTTGACTTCCCGCGTCTGTAGGATTGATATTGTCTTGACTGCCCTTATCTGAATGGAGCTGACTTTGATGATATACCAGATGCAGCCATGTATGACGGAGACTCCCATCATATTTTTGGTGGTTATGATCGGGAGGCGATTGTCGCGGAGACCAGGAGGGGCTAATGCAGAGGTTGGTCATTTTGCTCATTATCCTGTGAGCAGTCTCTTGGTGCCTGCCTTCATATTGCTCTATGTTGTGACACATATTATTTTCCAGCGCGGGCATAATCACTCGAAGGTGCTGGAGGGTGACTTTGTTATTTTGTGGGTCATCCTTCACTATATTAAGGTGAACTGGAGGCACTATATAAGTATCCTGTTGCGAAAGGCTGGACTGTCCTTTGCATTCCTAGTGCATAAGATTTTGCATAGGTTTGGTTTGCATATGCAAATTGAGACGCTGAAGGCCTTATCCGTAAACCCTATGTTCGTCATAACATTGATGTTTATCAAGCTTAAACACAGAATCCACATTCACCTGCGTCTGTACGTCAACTAATTGGGTAAGAATGCATATGATTTCTCCTAGTCACCATATAACTTCACAATGGCCTTTATTTTTGCCTTCCAAGCCTCCCTGTACATTATTTTGTATCTATATATGTGTTGTATCCTCTCTTGTATTAGAACTGGTTTTAAAGCTAAATCTTCCTTTAACATACCTATATAAAAAAAAGCAAGTTCAAAATATTGTCAATAAACATTTTTCATTAAATAAATAACATAAACTAACGTATGTAATAATACATAATACAATACATACTCATAATGGCTGCACATATAACCTCTGAATCTAGTTGTCTATGATCTAGGGCAAGACCCTGATTCAGGCAAGTGTGATCTTGGCCCCACTTACGGATCACCCAATTATTTCCATTCTTGGGCTTGATTACCCTCATATACTAGGGACAACTGTCAGCATGGTTTTGATACTTCATCACAAATCTATGTTCGTCGCTTTTTTCGACTATGGTTGTCCTGCGTCCCTTCATACAATGTAATTTAACGACATTTTGCATTTCAGATTTGGAACTAATTCTTGTTGCACAAATAACAGATCCCCTAATTTCCAACCTCCGTACAAATCATCGTCACCATAGATCATCTCCAACTTGTCATTAGGGTGCGCTCAATTAATGAATGAATAATGTTGGCTTTCATTTCAAAATAGCTCTATCTCAGTCCCTACATCTAAAGGATGATTGTTTTTGTCAAAAGCATTAGCAATGTAAATATTAAATGTTCAATACAAATTGAAATTTAATAACTTACCACTACTAACTGTGTCAACATGATGTGGTGAGATGGTCGGGGAACCCAAGCTTACCGCATTAGTGTTAGCGTCAAAATTACCCTCCACGTCAGTATCTGACGAATCACCTTGTGGAATAACATTTTCAAGTTCTCTCTCCTCTTCGTTGTCCACATCTTTCTCCTCAGCCTCCTTACCTTCATCCATTGTTATCTAACTTAACACCTGAGCAGGTGCAGATAAACTGACAATTGTATCTTCTTGACCAAAACACTGTGGAGTGCTTGTATGTGTCGGTAAAGATGAAGACTGACCAGCATCAACTTCAACATATATCTCAATAAATTTTAATATTTTCCACTCAACAAAAGTATTTGTGACAAACTCCACATCTTCATCATCATTGGTATCGTTACCAATATAGTATATTGTATCCATATCAACTACAGTCTTTAACCTGGCTATCATGCTATGAATGGATTGGCTGCTTTATAACCCTAATTTTTTATGAATTCTTTCCTATAGTTTTTTGTATGTAGTGTCCACTTTGATTTTCATTGTTTTTGTTTTTCCTTCAAATCGGACATCATTGGAACCTTCAAATTGCCTCCTATTGTGGTAAATAACTACAGGATACATGTTTGAACTTGAACTCAACTTTCACACGAAATTGGATCTAGGGTTTGGTTCGGATTTTTGAGAAAAAATAGGAATATGTAGGTGTAATGCCATGATTTCACAAGATAAGGCCTTTTGAGATGGTGGGATAAAATACAACCTTGATGGCTCATAATAGAGATGAGAAAGGAGAGAGATTTGGGGGTACAAAACGTATAAATGATCAAAGAGGCCGAAACCCACTGATAATGGAGTTTCTGGCCGACGATTACCTGGGTATCTGGGTGTGTACCCGGGTATTTAACTGTATACTCGAGTATCTGGGTATATACTCGGGTAAAAATTCAAATTACGTAAGAACACTAATAATCCACGAAATATACCCAGGTAAATGGGTCTGTACTCGAGTAAATATATAGTTAACGGTCAAATATGAATAGATTGATATTATGTTTGGTGAAAAGATCAATTTTTTTAATAGTTTGTAAATGGAGGCAACATAGTAATTTTTTATTAATTAAATGGTACAGTGGTAAAAAAATCCATATTATATATGCTTTTGATTCTTGTTCTTGTTCTTTTTTTAGTGTATTGCTCGGAAAGTATGGAGAATTTTCTCGATGATTGGGGGGTTGTATGCATAACCACTACAACCTCAAGATGAAAAATTAAATCAATCAATCAATCAATCGTTTCTCTATCAAGTCACTACATTTATGAAAATATTTTAAATTATAAGAACAATGCTAACAACACACTATTTAACAAATTATTATTGAGTGAATTTCATATAAGTCCCGCTGAATGACAACTAAATTTAATATATTTAAAAGTAAAAGAATCATATGTTTTTTATGTTAACAAAGGGATATGCAAAATCAAAGTCCTATAATAATATGCATAAAAAATATAAATAAAAAAAGCCCAATAAAATATAATACCCAACTAGCACCATTCAAGCCTCCCATTGGCAAGAATGAAAATTTAAATCAAGCTTCAGTAACAAAGAGGTGGAAGCATATTTTTGTCGCCACATAAGATTAAGAAGTGCATATCTTTTCTTGCACACAGATTAATATATGCACTATAGGTTAGTGGCTAACTAGCCACCCTATGATACATACTACTTAAGATCTCACCATATATTGTGAAGCATTGGTTCTAAATTTCAAATTACTATAATTACAAAGCAAATTTCTATATAATCCATGCCACATGGAATTTCATTGATCCCCATTGAGTGCAATAGTTAACCAGCTGGATACTGATGATTGAATTTCATTCTGACCATTTGCGTACAAAGATAAAGGGGTAACTGTAACCTGTCATGCCAAAAGGAAACATTAGAGTACAAAATTAGTATAATAATATAGGGATACAGTTCATTTTAATCAACTGTGACAATGAAAAAAACTTGTTTTGCATGACATAATAAAGTGAAATATGGAATAAAAGATTTTTGGGATGTTGATATGAACTGCATGACCCTCTAGTTAGGTCCCCCCAATGTGACACCCCCACCCCCAACAAAAAAAAAAAAAGTGTAGGAGATAAAGAAAACACAAAAATTGCCACTCACAAATCCTTCTTCAAGTGCTCTGAAGTCTAAATCCTCCTCTACATTCTGCTGCCCTTTCTCTGTTAACTGCAAATGTGAATTTTAGCAATGCTCATGAGGGTGTCTCCAAAATGATATGCAATTTCTTGCCACACAAGAGAAAATGAAAAGAATCATCAGCAGTATGAAGAAGAGGTGATTTTCAAACATGTAACAAGTGAAAACTTTCATCCTCGTTGTGCCAAATGCAGACTATATTCGTAACAATCCTTTTTCTTTCTTTTTTTTGGCTTTGCAAGTGATGTTTATGGTACCTCCATTCGGAAGTATTTCTTTATGGTTTGTTGAGAACTGAGTTTTCCTGCAGCACCAACAGATTCGATCTCCAAGTTCTTACTGTTTGAGTTTAAGCTTCGTGCTGCTCCCTAAAGAGTTTCATACAAGGAAATTCCGTTAATTATTAAAAAATGAGAGGCTAAAAAATGTTCCTATAAAGAAATATTATAGAGATATAATATAAAACAATTGAAGAATTATTGCTTTGCATGGTCGGTGATTATGGAATAACGAGTTCGATCCTTATTGCCCTTCACTTTTTAGTGAAATTAAATCATGGGTATATGCAATATCTACGCTGCAAACTCAAAGGACTCTTGTGTGACGGAAAATATTAGAGAAATATAATATAAAAACTATTAATACTTTTGAGTTAAAACGGTGCTTTACGAAAACGCAACCAGCTAAAACCAGAATGCATTTATGGTAATCAGATCAGAAAGTCTTACTGCAGCAGAGGCATCTCGTCCAAGTTTTGCTAACATGACTCCAAGACTTTGCTGGTTAGACATGTAATGGCCAGTTGAAGGATTCCTATTTGCTGACACAGCTTGCCAACTTAAAGAAGTCCTCCATGGACTTTGCCTTGTCACTTTAACACCCTATTCACAAAAAGGTAGGCCATAACAACAACCGCCAGAATTACTACTACAAAACACAATGTCAATTGTCTAACTATTGGAATTTACATGATAAAGGATGCTCACCATGTTAGACATAATATAAATCTGTAAGATATATAATAAAACCATTCATCTGCCTTCACTGAATTATTTAAGCTTTTAGGAGAAATTGATTCGTGACATGATATCAAAGCCTCTATAAGTGATCCAGAGTTTCTTCCCGCCCCAAATGGTTCTTGAGTGTGGGTGTATTAGATATAATATATATCTGTTATAGATATAATAAAACCGTTCATGCGTCTTCATACAACATATCCCATATACAAGGTGCCAATTGTTTCCATCATGAGCTTAAAACCAAGCAATCTATTTCTTGGCAAACTAGACTATGAAATATCATGATCAGGATTCAGGAAAGCAAACCTTATTTGTCAGGGGACAGCTTGGGATACCTATATTGAGGAAGCAATTTTTGGGGAAAATCCCTTTCTGTATATCTCTTATGGCTGCATGAATTAATGGTAAGCATACCAAAACTGCATCCTTCAAATATCTTTCACAGCTCACATTCTTTTCCCTGCGAGATATTTACATTACATAGTTCACCTAACCATTGGAGGGACAAAAAGAGAGAACAGACAACTATAATGCATAATATTTTACATAAGCACCAGTTCAATGATATACATAGAGACGGCACACCACAAATCAGTGCCTCTCTAGCTCCAGCAACAGCTCCGGAGTACAACCTATACCATTAAAGACACCAAAATAAGAGACCAAGCTTGAAAGATATATATATATATATATATATATATATATATATATGAAAAATATTTCTCCGGCAACTTGAGATAAGTTTATCTCCAGCCATCCCAAAACTTCGTCGTTTTGTTTATTTATTTTCTTATATTAATTGATTCACCTTTGAATGGTTATTATTCTCTTTTTCTCTCTCTTCCTTTATCACCATTGATTTATCTTTGTACGGTTATGATTTAGTAGTCGGAGATAAAATTATCTCAACAGCTTGAGAAATGATAAGCCATATATATATAAATATATATAAGTAGTCTATATGTAAAACCAAGTTGATTCCTTCTCCAAATTGATTCCAATATATTGAAAGTATCATTTCGAAATAAAAGCACATCACAGACTTACGTGTCATAACCACAAGTTGCTCCTTTGTTTAGTCCACTAATTACCTGGTTACAGAGTCATGTAATTAAAATGATGGTATATATAGAACTGTTTATATTCGATAGCCGTTGGAGGTGATAGATTTTATGCATAAAACCAATACCTACCAAAACAGGTTTTGACCAAGAAAACAATGCCCCTGATAAAGCCAAAGAGACACAATCTGCTGGGGTTCCTGACATAAAGTTAAAAGATTCAAACACCCTTCATCCTAAATTAAGTTTTCTTCAAAAGACCATTAAGCATAGAAAAATCTAGCATAGGAAGAATAGAATATAACAATGCACTATTCTCAGAATCATAATTCTCTCAACAAATAACCAAAGTGTGAAACTACCTGACACTTGATAAGCAGTGGTACCACCAACTTCTGCTGAATACACAGCTAGCGTCTCTCTGGTGGTAACTGAGTGACCACAAACCGATCTATCCCTGCATCAGCATAAAAATAACCATTATCAAACACCATGTCACGATCATTGAACTAACCCCAGTTGAAGTTTTTTTTTTTATGATCTATTGGAACAACGTAAATTCAAGCTTATCTTGTGCAAACAAATATTTAACATGAAAAATCATGTCTTGAGGAAATGGGGTAGGGACCTACGATTGTGGGGCACAGACATGGACATCAAAAAGGTCATCTTGAAGGAGCGCCTCAACGAGGAAAATGAGGCCAGAAGAATCTATGCCTTCACCATTGGTGACCAGCACAACAGGCTTTGAAGAAGCTCTTATGGGTTCCTGGGTTCTGTTCTGATGCTGCTCCTGAACACTGTTCCTGCGGATCAATACTTGTTTGAGATTTGAGACCAATGCAGGGTTCATGAAGTTGTTGTTCTTCACCGATGTGGCCATTGAATATGGGAAGAGAAATATAGTACAATCGTTAAGTGAGACACAGGTAGAGACAGTTTTTATGATTGTACTGTGGGAGATTAATTCAAATTATATGTTGGGGAAGACCTGCATTTATAGTGGAGCATGTGTATAACCTGAATTATTAATAAAATGTTGTCACAAGATTAAAGTATTATTTGATCACTATGAAAATAGTGTTTAAATGTAAACTTCTGCAACTATTGTTACTCTATTTGTAATTTTTTTTTTTTTTGTATAATCTAAAAGTATCCCATTCATCTTATTCAATCATCTTATCTTCGAAGTACCGCTTCGAAGGCTAACTTTTCATTGGAACAAGGTGTATTGAATTTCGCCACCGGACAAAGGATAAAATTAATCTCACATTCGAAAAAAAAAAAAAAAAAAAAACACGTCTTCTGATTCTCAAATTTTTTTCAAAAATTTGCATCATACAAAGTTTAAATCATTGACCAAACAAATCCTCAATAACTCAGTTTTCAATTTAGCTACCCTGTAATTTTAGTTACCCCACATTTATCTACTTCACACGTCTTGCTTTAATCAATTCCACCACGCTTCTTCTTTCTCTCTTATATATTAACCGCGATCAGATTATTAATTTGCACCTGTTTTGCGTTACTTGTTAATTGTCATCATAGGTTGAACCAAGGAAAAAGATAGTGCGCCAAAAGGGACTATGGTTATTATTATTTTTTATTAATTTACATTAGTTGATAAATATAAAGGAGTTTTAGTTTGTCGTTTAACATGATCAGAAAAATTTTCCTACACACAACATTTTGTGAAGTCCACACTTTTTAAAGCAAAAAAAAAAATTATAGCACGCAAAACGAATCTCTATAACATTACACACTCATTTTTCCTACAACATAACTCTTATAAAACTCAAATATAAATTATCTCAGTGATCAATCATCTGTGGCACCAAAATAAAACTGTACTTTTCTTTTAAATGTCATTGCCCTACAATATCAACGAATCTATTCTTGACATTCTCGGTTTGATTAAGAGTGTCGGCATATATGAACTTAGCAGTAGCATATCTTTAATCATAATTTTTATTGACTATTAGGTTTGAAATGAAGACCTTTCTCCCACTTTATTAAGAAAAGAAAGTGAGGTAATAAATGAACATTGAATTTTTGTTCCTTTCTCTCCATTTTATGCTGTAGAAAATAAATGGTGAAGTTCTATCGTATATTTTTGTTTATATTATTCATCGATTTATTAATTAGGATCATATGGGAAACAAGATTTTCCTATTAAATTTTAACATAATTATATTCTCAAAAATTCGAACTCAAGATCTTGGTTAAATTGAAATAGCTCCTACCATTTGATTTAGGTACTTGGTGGTAAGTTCTATCATATATTATTACATTGAAATGCGAATTGGTGAAATCAAATTTGCGGGTGACATTTGAATCTATGCTTCTTTTGAAAAATAATAATAATAATAATAATGACATGAGCTCACAACGCTACATGATTATGCTTTTCGTGGATGCATACCATCATATGCACTCATCCAGTACCTTCTCTGACATGACTTTTCTCGTTGGGCTCCTGCAAAGGATATTCTAAGTGTTCACTAGATATGAGTTGGAGCAACATTCATTGCCACGAGATCTCAGGATCAATTATTTGGTTTTTTATGTATACAATATATATATAATATTGAGTATGGTTATATTCATAAAAAAAAAATTATAAATTTACAAATTACACTATGTCTGAGTGGTAATACTTTAATAGAGTGTTATTAGTCAGACATAGTGTAGTTTGTAAATATATTTTGTTCCTATAATATAACATAAAATTATTTTTGTATTTGCTCCATATATTTTTTTGTCTGATACACATTATATATTATGGATTTTCGTTTTATCCTTTAACATAACACAACAAACTATCCTACACTCACAACATTTTGTGGGGCCCACACTTTTTAAAACAAAAAAATAAATAAATAATTAAGGCACGCAAAACGAATCTCTATAACATTACACAATCACTTTTCCTACCACATAACTCTTATAAAACCCATATATTATTAGTAGTATATAATATAATTTTTAAACCTAACTTTATTGCAAGGGAACCCACTTCTTTTTTGGTAGGATCCATTGTTTTTTTTGTGAGAGTGGCGGGGGGACTTTTTCTGCCTTGCTACAGAAAAGTTAACCCCATAATATAATGGTGAAAAGTAACATCACGTGCAGTAATAATTTTTGTTTTCATACCTGCAATGTGAAATTCAATGTTTTTCTGTCTTGTTTGGGTTTTGGCCTTTGGGGAAGGTTAGAAACGGGGCGAACCACCCATAGCCAATAAATATTTATTGCAATATATGTTCATGTGAAGTTATTCTCACAGGCAAACATATAATGTGAGTGAAAAAAAATTAAGGTAATAGTCAGGGTCAATTAGGTTAAGCCATTGATAGATTCTTCAAAGTCCAAATTCTTCAGTTGGTGGGGAATGAAAGTGTGTAAACAAATCTTTAAATTAATTTATTTTATATTTAAATATATTAATTAAAAAATTTCTTAAGACATGTTTTCAAACAAGTTATATTTTAAAAATAATAATGATCTAATATTCATTAAACTTAGGCTGTCATGACGTTGATTTCATTTCACAAGAGAGCAATTATTCAAAATGTTGAATCGTGCAAGCAAATCATTGAAGTTCCACATTTCAAATGAATTTGAATCTTGAGGGCAAAAGATTTTCAGCTAACAATCGAAAAAGTTCACAAATAATTTCCAACAAAGCATGACTTCATATTTAAATTCAAAAAAATATGAGTATCTATGCCCCTTCATTATTCTGTCTCTTGTATTTAACACTTTTCTTATATATATGTCTTTTCCCTTTTCTAAAGGAGGTGAGTGAACAGCCTTTTGTTTTTTTTGGGTAAACAGCGAACAGCCTTTTAAATAAAACACAACGTTTAACAATATGTACTTTTTTTAGTTAGTATCTTAATAATATTTAGATTATAAAATATTTTAAATACAAAATAAATTATATGTACATTAGTACATGTATACTACATCTCCCTTCTGAGACAAACATTACGAGCTATTGAGCAACACGTGTGTTTCAATAAAATAATTGCTACTCGTTATAAAGGAATAATACAATATAAAACAATAAATATAAAAAAAAAATTGATGTTATGAACCTATTTAAATTGTTCATGGAAAAAAAAATTCTTGTGTGAAGAACTTATAAATTATCCATACTTCAATCTCGTAAGTCTTCTAGCGTCTTGGCGTGAGAAAGTATATTACAAAATAATATAATATAATATAACATAATAAATATATCTCCATTCAATTAGAGCTTAAACGTTCATGCACTGAATCAAACACAAAAAGACTTGCATGATACATAAGATTCAAGGCACAACCTGAATTATATAAATACAAAATTAGATTATTAATTTGTTCTATGGGTTAAAGACAACCTAAGCTGTATTCAAAAAAAAAAAGACAACCTAAGCTTAGGTTCTCGTGAGTTCTTCACCAGATCCATATGACTATAGGTCCATCGTGATAATAAAAAAGACTACCAGACTGGAGTGACATTGCATTAGGCACACAAGTTGCATTCGCATGACCAGAATCATATAAAGAAAGTTTACATACAGATCGGGCGGGAAATCATAAACAGTGCAATGAGACTCTCTGTTTGGATGAACTTTTTTTCTTCCAAAAATTACTTTTTTTCATAAAGAAAAAGAAAAAAGCACTTCTCAGGAAATTCATTTGAATGTCTGTTTAAAAAAAAAACATAAATCATAAAAAATGTTAAAAACCTATTTTATTTTTCAAGGTAAAATTTTTAGCTTTTAAAAAAACATAAGTCAAAAATCAAATATTTGTTTCAAAAATTAAATATCTTTTAAAAATCAAAATAGTTTTAACTTCGGTAAAAAAAACACTTCTAAAATAAATAAGGCATAAAAGCTGCTTTTTTAAAATGGCCAAACAAACAGGCTCTTAAACACTGTCTCCTTGTGACTTGGCAAGAGTTTTTGTTTTTTGTTTTAAGCTGAATTCCCTTTTGCAAAGAATAAAAGAAAATTCCAACAAAACTCTTCAGCTGGGAGCAGAAAAAGATATTAGTCTACAATCAAATATCATAAAATGGAAGTTGTTATTTTATTTGGCTTCTAACTATAGTAATTCATTTAAAAAGTTCCCTAATAAGAGTTGGCTTGACTTCATAACCAAGCAAGCCAAGTGAATGCAATTTGGTGCCATTCTCAACAGATCAACTCACAATGAGAATGGCTCCAAATCAACCAGTCCAGAGTTGCTGGCATGTAAGGAAATCATACTTAACAACTTGAAATCAGCCTATTTCGGAGGATTTTCCGAAATTATTTTTGGAACTCAGAACTGCTATTACTTGTGCATTGTAGTCTCCCACTAGTTCACAAACCAAAACAATCTCACCCTATACTGACTTACTGAGTCAGTTGTAGTATCAACATGCTCGAATGCAATTTCTTATGAACCTAGACCACTGGAATAATTCATTCAAAGAAAGATTGCATCAAGATGAATTTGCAATAATGATCAATTCATGCTAGGTTACAAGAGAATTCATTATCAATAGCTCTGCCCAACGAATTATTTAGACACGTAAAACCAATATTGCATTAACAGATGAATCAAAAGAATGCTCAACATATGCTGGTTCTTATGGTTGATTTGGCGCCATTCTCAACAGATCAACTCACAATACGTGGAACAAGCACCATATTGGTAATGGCATTCATTCATCAACAAAGATTACAACTCTTGTTAGATGGGGGAAAATATATATTATAAAAGGGGATGAAAAAAAAATAGCAATGAGGCTGACTATTATCTTAAAGGATTTAGACACAACCATGATCCACTCTCCTACTGAAAACAAAAATAAATAAGACATGAATTGGAGGTCTGCTGTCCATT